TTTTCCAACTTGCTTATGGTATACCTATATTCATATTCTTTGGCCAACCAATCCCATTGCGCTTGCGACGCCTCGACAAATTCTTGAAAGTGGGGTCTTTTGGCCGGCCTTCCAAACTCAATTTCCCTTTTATACTTAGCAAGGTACCCTGGTGAAACTTCACCTTTCGATAGATCGCGCACACAGGTATTTGCCGTCAGGTACTGACACTCGCTCCAAATCTGGCAGACTGCTGCTTCAGGAAACTAACCAACAGGACCAATCTCGACTACCTGAGCACTAAGGTCTTCATCTTTTAGAACTATTTGACATCTCCCCAACAGTCTCAAAACCCGGTATGGGGCATAAGGCTGGATAATTTTGAGACCCATCAGGAGGAAGAAAAGTCCGGTAGCTGGCATGTATACAATTTCATCTATAGGAAGCCACCGAACGTCCATTCTATTGAATATGCAATGATGGAACAGAGATGTGATATCCATTCTATGACCTCTTCTGGCAGGCTAAACCCATCGACCCTTATATAAAATTCCTTTATGCAGTTTTTCTTTGTCGACCCATAGCTCATGTATTGAGGACGATGACATAGATGTTCAATCATCCACATCTGTAGCAACAAGTTGCAGCCTTCAAAAAAACCTCCTCCGGCTTTGCAGGCTGTGAGAGTGCAGAAGATTTCAAACACTATCATGGGTGCGAGGGTTCTATTGGCCTGAGTAAGCAAAGTGCTGACAACCCCGACTATTCATATATCGATATTTCCATCTTTCCTAGGAAACACCAAAAGACCCAAGAATACCACCATAAAAGCAAAGAACATGTGTTCTTCCCATTTGAGGCGATTCTCTTTGCTACAAATTTTGCTTTCTGGATTATTAAACCCTCATATGTGTCTGTATCGCTAGTATATAAACTACATAGTGGAAAAACCAGCTGCCAAATCTGGGTTGTGGACCCCCTGCTTATCTTTATGGAATCTAGGAACCTGTGCACAACGACGACTCTTGGAGCAATCAGATATTTGTGTCTCATAGGAACCTCAGTGCTCCCAATATATCCGGCTATTTCTTCCAAAGTTGGGATGAGATTCAAAATTTGAGAAATGGAACATGTTGTGGGTCGGGTCCCAAAATGTAACCAACGCCTTTATGATGTCTCCTCTAGGCCTGATCTTCAACAACCCGGTGAGACCTCCCAAGTATAGATTGACCTTATCTTGCCCTGATTTACCCAGATCTTCCCACCACATACACAACTCCAAAGGGATCTTGTTCATGACTGTTATTGGCAAATTTTGACTCGTGCTCATTCTGCACATTTATTAGGGTGATTAAGCAAAATCATGACTCATTTGACTCAAGAAAAGTTAATATTTTTTTCAAATTGTCATTTCAAAAATAAAACTCGGCTTTTGTAATTACGGCCTTTCAGCACTTCCAGGGAGAAGATTTTAAGGCTGTGCTTGCTAACCGGCCAAAAATTTGAAAAAGAGACCAAAGGTGGCAGTTCTTGCAATAACAGCCTTTCAGCGTCCTTTTGGGGACATTCGGCTATTTTAGACAAAAATGGCATTACCCTACTTATTTAAAATAAAATAAAATTTTTGTTCTTTTTGGGCTATTTTTGCAAAAGTGAAGTTGGACACGATGGGGGTTGCCTACGTATCCCACATCCGGCGAGAATCAAACTGGCGTAGTTTGGGCAATTTTTGACAAAACAAAACCAACTCTTTTTCTTTAAAAAAAAAACAAAAAATTTCTCTTTTTTTTTCCTCAAAATTTCGACAGAGTTTCAGTATATTTTAGGATATCGGTTTTTCAAAAAATAGGCAATTATCTCTCTCAGCCCTCCATTGTCTTTCCTTCTCTCAAATTTTCCCCTATAAGCCAGTCAACATGCAAATCCGAAGCAAATAAATGCACAAGTAGCAAGTAGGATGCATCAGGATGGTCTTTTCATTTCGGGTACACTTGTCCTAGACAGACCCAACCCCTGTGTTGAGTCTCCAAAGTCAAATGCACATGATGCAAACAAACGTTCCTACTAGGGATCCGACATGAGGGTGAGTTATTCTAGGTTCAAAACCTGGGTATATTGTTCTAGACTTGTGTACCCAAGCGGACAACTCGAGCCGAGGAGGGGGCTACGTACCGGGAACCAAAAGGCCATCTGGCTTAGTAACTTGTCCGAGCCTCTTTCTTATTTTAGGGTATGACACTAACAGAATAGGGAGTCACGTCCAGCGTGCACATCCCCGAGGATGAGAAGAGAAGGATTTCATAGCAGTTTATATACAATTCAAATAATATCAAAGCGGTAAAAAGTAGCATTTAGCACACTAGGCTCAAACTTGCAATAAAATCAGATAATAAATAAAGCCATTTATAACAATTATTCTAAGCTCGAATTCTTGAACCATGAACCATAGATTCTGAGTTACAGATCCCCAGTAGAGTCGTCAGAGCTGTCACACCTCCTTTTTTCTACACCCCTCAAGGGTATAAGGGAGTTTTTCCAATTTAAGTGACAATCGAAACAGGATTTAATTCAAAATTCAGAGTCATCACTTGGAAGAATTTATGGTGTCCCAAGTCACCGGTTTCGAATCCCGAATAGAGGAAACATTGACTCTGTATTACAGTCCGCGAACACAAAAATTCGGGTAAGGAATTCTGTTAACCCAGGAGAAGGTATTAGGCATTCCCGAATTCCGTTGTTCTAGCACGGTCACTCAACTATTACAATTGGCCTATTTACTTGATTTTAATATATGTTTTAGCCTATGGTATATTTTTACTTTAGCCTCTTTATTTAATTATTTATTTTAGGAAAATTTCAATGTCACATAAAACGCGTCATGAACCACGTCACATAAATGCACCCGCAGTCCGTAACACATTGTATCTAACGTTGTTGAGATTTGGATTTGGGTCACATAAATGCGCACCCAAATTTAGGAAGGTAAATTATTAAAATAACGCGCCTAAAGAAACTTTGCACTTTTAAGTTTGTGAGGGCCATGAAAATTCAACTAGATGGCACACCTCGAGTTCTAAGGATTAAAATATTCAATATTAATGACATGAGGGCCGTGCATTTTTTGAGTTTTTATTTGGCACGACGCACCTCAATACAATTAAAGGAGTTACACTTAATTAGGGCTAAGGGATATTTCTACTTACAAATAATAGAAGAAAATTAAGGTATAACTATTAGCAAGAAGGTTTGGGATACATGCTTGGGCTTCTGATTATTTAAAAACCAATTAGTTTGAGCTTCTACCCAAAGAAGTTATTGACAAACTAAGTAAGGATTTTGCCAAATTAATGGAGAGTGAATTTGAAATGAGTATGATGGGTGAGCTTAACTTTTTCTTAGGGTTACAGATTAAACAAAGTCCAAATGAAACCATGATCCATCAGCAGAAATATGCAAAGGAGTTGATCAAAAAGTTTAAAATGGATGAATCAAAGGAAATAGACACCCCCACTGCAACTGCCACTAAATTAGACATAGATGAACCTGGTTCATCTGTTGATTAGAAGTTGTATAGGGGTATGATTGGTTCACTTTTGTATCTTACTACCAGCAGACCTGACAGAGTTTTCAGTGTAGGGCTTTGTGCTCGCTTTCAGGTTAATCCAAAAGAATCTCACTTGACTGCTGTCAAGAGCATACTGAGATATTTGAAAGGTACTACTGATCTGTGTCTTTGGTACCGTAAAGGTAGTAATTTCAATCTAGTAGGGTATGCTGATGCTGATTATGCAGGTTTTATTGTGGATAGGAAAAGCACCTCAGGTATGGCTCATTTTCTTGGTTCATGTCTTGTATCATGGGCTACTAAAAAGCAAAATTCAGTGGCCTTATCTACTGCTGAGGCTGAATATGTTGTTGTTTCCTCTTGTTGTGCTCAACTGCTATGGATCAAACAGCAGCTGGTCGATTTTGGCATTGAAGTTAGTTGCATTCCTATATTTTGTGATAACACTACGGCTATAAGTATGACAAAAAACCCTGTTCATCATAAGAGGACTAAGCACATAGATGTTAGACACCACTTCTTAAAAGATAACTATGAGAAAGGATTGATCTCCATAGAATTTTGTGCTAGTGATAAACAAATTGTTGACATCATCACTAAAGCACTGAGTAGAGAAAACTTTGAGAGGAACGGGTTGGAATTAGGGATGATTAAGATCACCTAATAGGTCCAGCTCAGAATGCACAATGAGAAAAAAATGAAAACTAATTGGAAAAAAAATGGCTAGGAACTCTGAACTTGTTTAAATATCTAGATTAATTTTTACTCAGCTTTATACTTTAATTAGTATACTCCTGTGACATGTGTTAATATGACTCACTGATCTCTTATAAAATTTTCTCTATTATGGTAAATTGAGGCATGTTCAAGAGAATTCTAAATGAAGAACCTGGTTCATCATTATGGGTTCATCTGAAAGCTAAGGTATGTTTTCTATACTCTCCACAATTATAAATATCAATATTTAAATCATTATGGGTTCATTTAGAATTCTCTTGAACATGCCTCAATTTACCATAATAGAGAAAATTTTATAAGAGCCTGGTTCATCATTATGGGTTCATCTGAAAGCTAAGGTATGTTTTCTATACTATCCACAATTATAAATATCAATATTTAAATCATGAGTAGAAGTCCTACAATTGTTCAATTCCTTAGAAAATTGAATCTGTTAGCTTTGAACCAGTTCAGTCTGCCTAAAACTCTAAACCACAAATATTGCCTAAAATCTAGGGAAGTTAAACCGATCATTCAAACCTGCAATTTAAGGTTGATTATACCTCTAATTGACCACTGCAAAAGATGTCGTTACACATTAAATGTGTATTTCTCTTTAAACACATATCATTCCTTCTACCATCTCCATAATTCCAAACCGTCAAAAATTCCTCTTCATTTTCCCTTGCCATTTTCTCCAAAATTCTAAATCACAAATTCTCTCAAGATACCAACGATCATGACCAACCCACAAGACAATCCTGGAACTCCTCCACAACCTACTCCCTCTGATTCATCTACCCCTCCTCCACCCAGTGCATCTCCCAAACCAAGGCTGAGAAGGGTGAAAATGCTTGCTCGGAAAACAGTAGTGTCTGGGGCTCTCAGAAGAAATTAAATGAGAAATTAAAGGCAATCCAGGCCCAAGACTCTGACACCATCTCTGATTCTGAGTCATACAAATCCACTAGTGATGGGGGGAGGACTTGGGTCTTCTAACTCTGAAAAGTATCAAGAATCCCCTTCTAAGGTAAGTTCTTCATTGTCTGAAAATCTAGAAAGTAGGTTTGTTCTAGTTGGGCCTGTTAAGAATGTAGAATTACCTGAGTTACGAAGGAGTGAAGGTAAAAAGAAATCTAAAAAAGAAAAAGAGAGAGAGAGGGTGCATGTGGTGAAGAGAGGGGAAATGGGAAAAGACTGGTTGATCATTCACCCACTGCTGATTTGCCTGTGCTTGCTATCTGTGGGGTTGAACAAGAAAAGGTAGAAGAGAGTGGCCAAAAGTCAGGGGAAGTGGTTCTGGTGAAGCTGCTAAAGGGTTAGTTCATCTAACCACACAAAGAGATGAACCTGGTTCATCTACTGAAAAAACCCTAGCAGACCTACTGAAAAAGGTTGGTTCAAGCTACGATCCAAGGAAACGAAGAACTCCCACACCAAAAGCCCCTAGTGTCCCTAAACCCTCCACAAAAAGAAAGCATTCATCCCCAACAACTACTGAAATTGCATTTCCAAAGGGAAGAGCTACAAGAAGCAGGGTGAAGCAGAGTGAGAGTGATCTTCAAAAGGCTCTAGCTGAGAGTAAAAAGAAAAGGGTGGCTAAAGGAAAAGGGAATGTTGCAGAGTCCTCAGAGGCTATGGAGGTTGAGGAGATGGAACAGGTCCATCATGAGGAAGTTCAAATAGTGGAGGTTAAGACCCCCAAGCCTAAAAAGCCCAAGACTTCTTCTAAGAAGTCTTCCTCTATGTCTAAGGCTGCTGAACATTCATTAGCCAAAATGACAAGGTCTGTAGTGAAAATTAAACAAGTGAAAATTTCTAAAGATGAGGAATGGAGTGGATAAGAAGTAGAAGATGATTCTGATGGTGAATAATACAAGCTTGCCATGTTTGGCAAATGAAAGATTTTGAAGGGTAGACTGCTAAAAGACCTGGTGGAGCCAGGAATGATGAGACTGGTGGATGCCTTAGCTGCTCCGGGGTGAAGTACATGGTCTTTTAGATGGATGGTAGGCTAGATAGGAATGAGATAATTGAGTTTATGGCAAATACAGAGGTTCAAGATGGCAAGGTTAGCAGCTTGGTGAAAGGAGTTCAAGTGTCCTTTGATGTAGAAAATCTGGGAGAGATCCTTGATATGCCCTCTGAAGTGTTTGATGACTATACTAGGCAAAAGTGGCCTTGTCTAGACTCTCTTCCTACTTCCCTTGAAATTAACAGGAGGTTTTGTGATGCTGAAGATGTGAATGAAGCCAGGGCTGTTCAGAAAAGTGAAATGAGGCCTCAGCACAAAACCAACCCTCTAGCTTCCCCAAGCCTTAGGAATCCTAGCTTTTGTCTCCTAAACCTGTCTAGTACCATCAGTGACCCAGATTAGGGATTTTTCTATCTTTTTGCTCATGTTTTAAATGTTTTTGCTTTCTGGTTGTGGATTGTGGTAGCAACATATCTCTATCAATGATATCTACTATTTTTTGCTCTTGTTTAATCTTTCCTTGATAGTTTAAATATGTTTGCTCGATTACTGATGATTAAACCATGATTGCACTTGCAGTTGCCCTAGTGGCCATGAGTACTTATTAAAATCTGGGACTCACACTTTGTATGCAACTTTTTGATGATGCCAAAAGGGGGAAGAGATATTGTTCTTTACACATTCTGAAATAAGTGATATATATAACCTAATTAACCTGGTCCTTGATGATAAGTCAATTTCCTAAGCTTTGTATTACTAGTTAAGTTGAGTTCTTACAGGATCCAAGAAAGTAAAAAGCACAGAATTTTTCATCATCAAAAAGGGGGAATTTGTTGGCCCAAGAACAAGTGAAGTTTTGAAGATTGACAAAAATATCTTAGACATGGACCAGGTCCATCTTGTGAAGCACGGTCATAGTCAACGTATACATGTGAGATGCACGTGAAGGAGATAAGTGTAACTGATCTAGAAGCAATATCTCCTGATCTGATCGAAAAGGTTTCATATTGGATAAGGAGAAAAAGACTCCTATATGAAGAGAACACAGTTTAAGATGAAGATAGTGTTAGAGTTTGAGATCATCATGAACTCTTTTATGATAGAAGAATAGCAATAGAATCCCAGTCAAACTCTGATTACTAACCTATTAAAAGTCAATGTTGTTCTCTCTTACAGGCAATGCACATAAGCAGAAGTTAAACTTAAATTGAGAGCAAAAGAACAAGGCGATTTTGCAAGTAATTTATGTGTGATTTGAGTGTGCAATCCTGAAGCTACTTGAACGAGATAGAAGAACCAGTTCCAAGTGTCTATCTTTTATTCTAGTTGAATTGTAGTAGGAGATTTTACATTGTACCTTTAAGCTTTCATTGAAGCAATTGTATTAGGTACCTAGAGTGTTCAAGTTAGACTTAACTTGAAGTTGTCGCAACAGTTGAGGTTGTGTGCTACAATGGGATTAGAGTTAATCCTTAGGTTTACAAAGAGTTTTTGTAAATGCTATTTTGGTTCAGTGATTTTAGTGGATATTTGGGAAAATCCTACTGTATTTATTATTTCGCAAATAGTAGTAGTTGGAATACCTAGAAGAACCAGGTTCTTCTATAGAGTAGTTAAGCGAAAATTGGGTACAACACAAATCACCCCCCCCTCTTGTGTGGTATTGACGCTTTAAACATCAAAAGTTTTTTTGCTCTGGAGCCATTCTTTGCAAACTTGGTATTGCTTCATTGAGGGCTTACGAGTTTAAAGTTTCTGACTCGGAGGCCATATGGCTTTGAGTTTCTGATGCCAGTCCCCGAGCGTTCGGGGGATATTTTGGCTCTAGAGCCGTTTCTTAAAAAATGGCAGACTTCTTTGAAGCGTAAAACGTTTTGATGAAGGAAAAATATTCTTTGATTACTCGGCACAAGTATACTTGTTTTCGTTGTCAAGGGTTTGGTTATTCTATGCGGACACGGTTCGTTCGACCATTTTGCCTGATACATCATTTTCCTATCGAGACCCTTTTTGGCATGTTCTTGACTTCTCCGAGGAGGTGATCTCTCGGGGGGATGCCCCCCAATATTTGAGGTTGATTGAAGAGAAGCCTTGAATAATTGTTGAGTTCTCCTTAGGTAGCATATAGGTGTTGCCTCGTTAAAAACCTTTCCAGTAAAACACTTCTTGAGACAAAATCCGATCGAAGGAAAAGAGTGCAACGCATGCTTCAAAACCCAAGATCTCCGAGCCGGGGGATATTTTGGCATCTTCTATCGGACACCTTAGAAATAGTAATGTTTGAGTGTTGATATGTTCCAATTGCTTGGAAGTTGTACGCCTTCCATGGTACGGAGCTTGTAGGACCCTTTGCCGATCACTCCTAGGACGTAGTACGGTCTTTCCCAGTTTTGGACTAGCTTTTCTTCATTATGGTTTTGAGTATTTAAGGTGACTTTCCTCAGGATTAAGTCCCCGACTCCGAAATGTCAGAGATTTTGTTCTCCTGTTGTAGTACCTTTCGATCCTTTGTTTTTGGGCGGCAATTCGGTCCAATGAAGCTTCTTCCTTTTCATCCAATAGTTCGAGGGCCGTAGTCATGGCCTCGTTGTTTAAGCTCTCGGTGGTTTGTTGGAATCTGGTGCTTGGCTCTCCGACCTCTAACGGTATTATAACCTCGGCACCATATACTAGAGAGAAGGGCGTTTCTCCTATGCTTGACTTTGGAGTTGTTCGATATGCTCATAGTACTTCGGGTAATATTTCTCTCCATTTTCCCTTGGCACTTTCCAACTGCTTTTTTAAGTTTTGAATGATGGTCTTGTTTGTAGATTCGGCCTGACCATTCGCACATAGGTTGTAGGGTGTCGACAGGATTCTTTTGGTTTTATGATCCTCGAGGAACTATGTTACTTTGCTTCCGATGAACTACTTTCCATTATCGCATATTATCTCGGAAGGAATCCGAAATCGGCACATGATGTGGTCCCAGATGAAGTTAATGACTTCTTTTTCTCTTATCTTTTCGAAGGCCTACGCTTCCACCTATTTTGAGAAGTAGTCAGCCATAAATAAAATAAATCTAGCTTTACCTAGTGCCGTTGGTAGAGGTTTGACGATTTCCATCCCTCACTTTAGGAATGGCCATGGCGACAAGACCGAATGCAGCTGTTCACCGGGTTGGTGAATCATCAGAGCAAACCTCTGGCATTTGTCGCACTTACGGACAAATTCTTTGGCATCCTTTTCCATGATGTCCCAATAGTAGCATGCTCTGATCACCTTTCGGACTAAGGAATCGGCATCGGAGTGGTTTCCGCAGGTGCCCTCATGGATTTATCAAAGCACATAATTTGTGTCCCCCAACCCCTGACATACTGCTAGGGGCCCATCAAAGGTTCTTCTATACAGAGTTCTGCTTTCGTATAGCGAGAATCAGCTACTTTGGTTCGCAGGGACCTCGACTCCTTTGGATCTGCGGGTAGTTTCCCACTTTCCAACTAATCAATATATTTATTTCTCCAATCCCAAGTCAGGCTAGTGGAGTTGATCTTGCCATGACTTTCCTCGATCACTTATTAGGATAGAAAAACAATAGCCCTGGGGAGTAGGTCATCTTCTTCAACAGATGATCCCAGATTTGCAAGGGCATCGGCCTCGCTATTATGCTCTCGAGTTATGGGGACCAAAGTTCATTCTTTGAAGCGGTGCAATGTGACTTGAATTTTGTCTAAGTATCTTTGCATCCTGTCTTCTCAAACCTCGAAGCTCCTATATACCTAATGTACTACCAGGAGGGAATCACATCATGCTTTGATGACTTCAGCTCATAGGCCTTTGGCCAATTCCAAACCTACAATCATAGTCTCATATTAGGCTTTGTTGTTAGTAAATCTTGCAATTTTTATAGATTGTCTGATTATGCCCCCCATAGGCGGCTTTAGAACTATGACGAGCCTAGATTCTCTTATGTTTGAGGCACCGTCAGTGAACAAGGTCCATACATCGGAAGATGTGCCTTTTTTAAGTAAAAGCTCTTTCTCTACCTCGGGCATGAAGGAGGGCAAAAAGTCAGCCACAAAATCTTCCAGAATTTGGGACTTGATAGTCGTTTGGGGTTGATACTCGATATCGTACCCCCTGAGTTCGATGGCCCATTTGACCAGTCGGCCCGATAATTCGGGCTTATGCAATATGCTTTGGAGAGGATATGTTGTTAAAACACAAATAAGATGGCATTGACAGTAAGGCTTCAATTTTTGCAATGCACTTATGAATGCAAGAGCTAATTTTTCTAGGTGCGGATACCTGATTTCGACATCTCCCAGGGTCCGACTTACATAATAAACATGGAATTGCGTACCTTGTTCTTCTCAAACTAGCACACCACTTATTGCTATCTCGGATACGGCCAAGTACAAATATAGCGTCTCGTCCTCCTTTGGGATGTGGAGTAAAGGTGGCTAGTCAGATATCGCTTCAACTCCTCTAGGGCACATTGGCATTCCGAAGTCCATTTGAAGTTGTTTTATTTTTTAGTAAGGAGAAGAAATGATGAATCCTGTCTGATAACCTCGATATGAATCGGCCCAAGGCTACTATCCACCCGGTCAGCCGTTGCACGACCTTCATATTGTTTACTACCGTGATTTCTTTGATGGCCTTGATTTTGTCGGGGTTGACCTCGATTCCCCTGTTTGACACCATGAAGCCTAAGAATTTGTCTGAACCCACTCCAAAGGCACATTTCTCGGGATTGAGTTTCATGTTGTAGCTCCTGAGGATGTCGAATGTCTCCTGTAAATAAGTCAAATGGTCCTCTATGCGTAGGGACTTAACTAGCATGTCATCAATATTAACTTCCATGGATTTTCCTATTTGATGTTCGAA